GGACGTTGAAAGGAAAATCAAACATCTGCAGACAGGCTAAGAAATAACTAAAACTGAGATAAAGAGATACTGCTGAATTGAAATTTTTCTATACTGCACTTACACATTATTTCACACAATTTTCGATCTGAATACTTCAAGGATTACTTAAATAGAAACTGGTAAAACTCGGACAAAAAAAAATTGCTTACTGCTTTTGCAAACACGGTTTCCCTGTTGAACTTAAATATTTCAACGAAATTCATTTTAAAATTTATTTTTATTGGCACGGACCACCTCAGCAACTGTTTGTAGCAAATTAAATTACTAACGAAATTGTTAAGTCCGGACCAAACAAGAACGACTTAAAAATACTCAGAGATCCACGTTGAAGAGTTTTCAGAAACTTACAGTGAACGTGGGTCAATTGAGAGAGGGTTCGACGAGTCTCGAGAAGATTTGATCAAGTTCAAATTTGATGGGAGTATATAAGAATCGTCAGGATATAGATATGAGTTTCAGGTCGAACGATACCGAGAATTTTTTCTCCTGTCGACTTTCGTTTCCATTTGGCCCGGGCTTAAACACAACTACCTCCTAAGCCTTTGTTTCAAGGCAATAGTAGCCTACTTCCTTTACTATGTCCAACGGTAGTTGTAAATGGCACTGCCCGTTGAGAGCTCAGGGATCCCCGGTGTCTTCGTGAACACGCGGTTCGCCCCAGATCCTCCCCACGGCATGCTGTAACTTGAAAATGAAGTTAATTTTAGATAGGGTTGTGTAGCAGGATTAAGAAAAAAATAAGAATCTGTTTCTCGATCATTGTCTTCTGCGTTACATAAAGAGGTCTGGAACTTATGATGTAATTCGGAACACGTGATTTGTCCCAGATTCCGTTCGTCTTGCTTGAGGCGCGCTCAGTCAACGGGGGAACTGGAACACAAGGTGTCACTACTGACACGTGTAACTTTTGTGATTCTCTCCATGGGTCGTCGGGAGAACTAATATGATTTTTTTCTCTCTGGTCTTCGGCTTCGCAACAGAAACGTTGGACTTGCAAACGACTGACTGCGATCTCCATCAATGAACAGCAAGCTGACTACCAAGCGAAACCTGTTTCGTCTGTCGGCGTCCACGGTTGAAAGCTTGTAAACTGGCGTGCCTTTATCAGACATGTAAACTGAATCGAGATCCACAGACAGGTATTGCTGACAACAACGAAAAGAAATTCAAGTTAATGGCGTTTTACATTTTTTCAAATCTGAAGTTCAAAAATTAAAAAAATATATTCTATTAGCCTACGTTTCTTTATTTTAAGAAATCAGTGATCGATCGCTCGACGATTAATTGAACTAATAATAGTTCTGGTATTAGAAGCTTCTTGGGGTACTTTTAGAGGCGGGGTGGGGCGATTGTGGAAGTGGGCAGCGTCCATTCTCATTCCCAGGGCTTTTCTTTTTCCCCGCCATTTTGTAAGAAAAAAGGCCCTGGGAACAAGGTTGGGGCTACGTGGTCATCAGAGGAGGTGATGTTAGAAAAAATGACGGAATAAAAATTCATTTGGAACATTTTGTAGGTGAGATGCGAATGTGTATAGTGGCGCAACAATTTCGTCCTATCAAGCACCGCTCTATTATTCTTACCTTGTTACCAACTTGCGCCCCCATTTTAACCTTCAGTGGCACTCTACCCGTGACGTCACCACTGAGAGCAGCTGCCATCGGCGCTCGCTCTACGAGAACTTCAATTTTTGCGATCTGTGCGTCTGCTGTCACCACCATTCGAACCTTCCCTTCGGCTAGTCTTTGCCTTGACTGACGGTTTACTCGACTCTGTACTTTTTCATACTCCTACGGAGAGAAATTCAAGGCAAGGGTTAAACAATGGTTTTCCAATGGGTCTATAAACACCCTTTTGTGCTTGCTAGGTTTAATGATTACTACTCACAAAAACTTGCGGTGAGGACCTCTGTCACCTTAAATAGTGTTGGCAGATCGATCTAGATCCAGATGCCCAAGAGGTGGGCGGGGTTGCAAAGTGAAGATGGGTCGAGCCCTTTGTTTATCGGATCATGATCAGGTTACGTCAGTTTTAGATAGGTACACTACCGATACCAGAAGGAGCTTAAGGCTCTTTGAATTTTACCTCGTTGATACTCACCTTTTTTAAGCCCAGAAAATGAACTTTAACTTTTGGCTGTGTGATGATGCATGGCATGGAACATTTCACCTTGTTAGGGAACGAGAAATCTTCTGAGTCTTGCTTGATGTACAGAGGCCTATCCAGCACCTCGTCCCGATCCACTTCAAGTTTTGGTTTCTTCAATGGAAAGCTTGGAAAATCTTTTGAATAGTCACTGTTCCACTCAGGTTCTAAAGTAAGAGTGAAATAAAAGGTATTAAATTATTGACTGCGAGCAGATCCTCTGTTTTGTTTAGCTCTTTTGATTTGCGGAGATCGCACCGCACAAGATAGTTGGTTTCTTAGAATCTGTATATCTTGAACAGGCTCTCTAGTCGAGGATGGCTCGAAGAGAAGAACCAGGAGAAAAGGGGGAGGAGGGGAGGGGAGCGAGACGGGGAGACGCCTTAAACCCCACCCCATTTTCCCTCGGCCACTTCACTCTCAGCCAATTCCTTCTAGGCCCTTTCACAGGCTACTCATCTTTATACTGGCCGAGCCATGTTGACAGCTGGGCAAACCCACGCGGTTGTGGATAATAACAGAAGCCATAATTGGGGACAGAGATCGTAAAAAAGAAGCGTCTTGATGAATAGGCTTGTTGAAATGATACATATCAATTTTCGTATTTTTGGAACAAATTGTGCATCGCGTGTGGCACACGCCATCCTTCCGCGAGGACACCACGCGGCGAGAAATAAAAGTTGGCGTCCAGAATCACTGGCATGATTGGTGAAAATATTCATGATATCGGTAATGTGGGCTAGACTGAAAAGACGTATAAATTGTCGGGCCGATCAATGAAATGAGCGCACGTGCTCAACAGGAGAAGCAGAGTAACGGAAGAACATTTTTAAAACTATCTATTTGTAGAGAGAGTGTTAGGGTTGACCCCTAGCTTAAACGACGTGCTCAGGTAGGTTACATCCGCTAACAGTACGAGGAAGGACATGAAGGAATCCTCAAGAACATTCCTGGAGCCCCAAGCCTTTTTTAGCGTCAAAAAATCTCTTTGGAAATACTCGACAGTCATCCCCTCTGGAGGTCCAAAGCCGTTTTCGGAAGTTTTCGATAATCTCGTCCGATTGGCTGATCCATTAGAAGTATGAGTATCCACGGTCTAATTTATTGTAAGCAGTTTACTTTCAAAATCAGTGCACTAATCCAAACAGTCTTTCTGGAAATAGACTAGGTATCAGTGTCGCGGTCACTCCTGTAATTATTAAATTAATTCAATTTTTCCAACCAAGCTAGGCCAATCACGTCCTGCATTATTATTATATTATTGTATGGAAAGTTCGCCACTGTACGTGAGTTTGTAAGAAAACTTCCTTGTAATATTCTAGCCTGAAACCTTTTCTACTGCTCATTTCCTTAAACAACCACTTTAGTTTTTTCTGTCTGCTCAGGAAGTGGGTTGACAACCAGACAGAGGTATATCGTCTGATAGCTACTCTGCGAGGTTATGGCGCTTTGGCCAATAGCAATTTTTCTCAACAGAATTGATTGGCAGTGTAAGTTATCAGTTTTCTCAGAAATCCGAAAAAGAAATTAATTCACACCAGGAATGACCCAAAAAGGCGACCCGGAATCGAAAGCATAACTATTAACATTGCGTCAAAATATATTTATGCAAAGAGAAATACACTGTAAGACGGAAAATCGTGGAATCACTCAACTGGCTAAACAAAAAGTGCGTTGCTATTGGCAACGTTTCTCAGCGCGATATTGAAAGGTTACCATAACTCTTGTACAGTTTTGCAAATTAAATTATCGGTTCAATATCGTCGTACAGATTACATCAGTCAATGATAAAACCTTACTGAGCCAAAATAAACACAGAGGATTCCCGAGAATCTAGGTAAAATGACCTAAACTTATATTTGCCGCCTTAGAACACGTCTCACGTAGTTGTGTTAGCTTTTTTGATCAGTTTAAATCTTACTCAGTTTTGAACATTAGCCTTTCTGCTTGATTTTCTTTATTTTTCTCTGTCGTTCCCTATCGTTTAAATCATATTGGTTTTCGATGCCAGATAATGTGCCACAGAAATGCTAAACAGCGTGACCTGCTGCTTTCCAGAAACCGGTCGTTGGCAATTTAAACACGGAAAAAACAGATACATTTAGAATGTTAAACGTATTTGTAGTCATACCTCGTTGTAAAATATCTTCCAGAAGGCTCAACCAGGAATCACAACGAAATTCTTCGTCCATTTTAACTTTGACTCTTTTAAGTTGCACTTGAGGTTCAGTAAAAGGCTAAGCTTTAGCTGCTTAGTGTTTTGTAACAACCGATGTGATGTGTACTACTCGCTCACGCTGCCGAGATGTTGTGCTATAGGAGCGTCTCGTAAAAATGCTATATACCCGGAGTTGCTTCCGTGTTTTGAGTTTTGTTATGAAAGAGATAATTCTTTATTTTTCTCTCAATTCAGACACGTGCGGTAACGCGGAAGTGCTAGATAACCAATCACAATTAGCCAAATAAAACTGAAAGTTAAGGGAAGCAAAAAAGAGTCACGTCCACTGTTTTGCTGAACAATAACTGGACTATTGAATAAAACTCTTAACGACTGCTGAAAGGAAGACAATCTTTTATTTCTTTAGGAGCGAACACATGTTATTAACTGTAAAGCGAAATATTAAATGTTCTGATCTAGAGATTTCGTGCGAACGCTCGCTCAAATTTCACTCCTCAAGTACGTTTTATTTCCAAGAAAAATTCATTACTCATAGCTAAATTTAACTGGCTTGTTTTGTTTTTGCTACGATAATGTATTTTAATGGGAAACGTGACTGTTCTTCGACACAACGCGCTCGTATGTCTGGATGTAAATATCAGTTTGTTGTGACTGATTCGCTTATTTTCTTTTCTGTTAACTATTTTCTCAAGCAGAATCTGAGCTAGAATACAATAAAAAGCGAGAGCAAATTCAGTTCATTACAATTTCAGTATAAAAATATATTTTTCTACCAGCAAGAGATTCGGCAGGTAAAGCTACAATTTTATTTTTTATTTTCAAACCCAGGTGTTGATGATAAAGCCAATGTGACAAAAACTAATATTCACGATTTTTGGCCTCTTTTTTCCTTTTTAAAGCGTGATAAAAACATTTGCATATCGCCGAATTGTTATGTCTTAAGGGCCCAAAACGTCTAAAAGCCGTCGAGCTCTTTTGTAAAGCGAAACATCTGAGCGGAAGTCGAAATAACGACCTCTCTACAAATCAGCTGTGGCCATGAAGAAAATTATCAGGATGTTATGTAACTCAAATCATTTTGAATTTCGACCTTTACAAAGATCATAGTTTTTAAATGCGTTTTATAATGTTTCCCTGCCGATACCACTCTGTCGAGAACGGGCTTAGATGTGTGTATTTGTGAAAAGGTTGTGAGAGGAGAGTGTTAGAAGTAATTAGTAAAAGACGCACTAAGCAGATTAAAGGGGATTACGAATGCAAGATTAGACAGTGCCAAACTTTCGATATGGTGCTTCAATTTTTCAAAAATTCTGTGACTTAAGGTTATTCCCCCCTGTAAAAATTTATTTTAGAGTTATTTGAACGGTGTTATCAATAATTTCAAGGGCAACAAATTTTATTTCGTGTTCAGTTGAACCAGTAGCGTTGTGTGACCGAATTGTTTACGTTCTGCAAGAATTGTTTCAAATATTTTATTAGTAGACCCGGAGCCAAGATCAGTTTCGGCCCGCGAACTGGGTCTAAACAACATAAATATAACTCTTATTATGCTGTTAACTTTTTTTCAAGCTTTATTTAGTAGCAGTTGGCTATTTATACAGTGCACTCAACACAAGCACATATTCAATAGATTTCACTTCCGGTCAATTATTATAAACATCAGTGGTGGTCGGGGTAGCCCTCGATTCGTAAAGCTTTGCGGGAGTTTAATTTTTTGAAATTGTGATCTGGAAGGCCCTAGAGGTATTTAATATTTCATTTTTGCAAGTTTTATCTTTTCTGGCAGGGAGTTCACATTTTAAGGTTTCAAGAGCTTTTACACGGCGTAATACAAGTACTGAATTGCGAGAATCTAATATTTATAAACCAAAAACAAATCCGAGCGATGAAAGAACAGGAATGAATTAATATCGGAGATTATGCGCTATCAAAATTATTTATGTGGCTAAATTTGTGCATGAATTCATCTTTCTTTTCGTTCATGATTTAGTATCCTTTTATCGAACGAATGGGCTACAATGAAGGAAAAGAGACCAACCTTAAACACACAAGCGGACTCCATTCGTGCAATTAAATAGCTGACATTTTTCTAGACTCTTTCACACCTAAACTAATATATATATTCGAACCTTGAGACTTCTGCATTCGATAACAACGACAAGATGAACTTATATTTCTTTTAAAACGTTTTCCTATATCTTCTTATCAAATACTCAAAAAACTGGGACATTGCTAAATGATAGTCAAGGGGTGCAAATTTTAAGAACTATCAGTTTTGCAGAATATATATGAAAGTAAATGTGAAAAATTTGCTAGAAGTTAGACATGTTAGAACCAGGGTTTCCAAACTTTCCTACGTGACTTGCTGAAAAAAAAAAACAAAACAAAACAACCTGCAGACATGACTCATGATATGATGACTCAGGGCTATGAGACACGAATTTATCAAAAATTACTGAGCGAGATATGGCCAAGAGGTTTTTCGCTTCAATATCTCAGCGATAGTTATTTGATATAATAACAATGTAATCCAAGGTTTTTAATAAAAGGATTGCCTAGAATAACTTTCATACATAACTGTAAAACAACGGTTTTGTCGCAGTCGACGTGAATTACGTGCCATAACGACCAGGAAGTAAATTGCGTTTTCTTTTTCTCCTTTTTCTTTTTCTTTTTTTTTTGTTTCCAGCACCTCAGTTGCCTAGCCACTGATCAGTCATGTGTGCAGAATTACATTAACCGCGAAATTAATTGAGCACGTTTGTGAGCAAAGTTATTGCTATCGAAAGTTCGCGTTCAGTACTGTCTTTAGCCACACGTATTCATAATCACGTGTTCCACGGCATAGCTTTCATAAATATACATATTTTTTCTTAGCACTTTCTTACAAAGATGCTTGAGGCTTTTTGCTCCGTTGAGCCAACTTTCTTACAAACTAACCATCTCGTGCCCAGATCCCCAAATTATCGGACCCAGCTAAGGATTGGGCTCCAGTCACATTTTGGTAATGAAGCTTTAAGTAAGAGTAAAACTTAGGAAGCTCGGAGTGATTAATACAAATGGTATGGGGGATTTGGGCGATATGATGTTTTTAACCTTATTTTACTGTTCATTGATATCCCGCAAAACATCGCCAATGATGATTGTGATGTGACCTTTCTGATGATAATGTACACATTTTCATAATTTCATAAATCAATCTGTAGACTCGGTTAAAGTTCACTTTCGATTTTGAGGAAGGCCTGTTGTACATTCGTGGGTAGTGGCAGTTGAGAACTTTGTCTTACTTTCTAACCAAAGTTCATTGTGTGTTGTAACGCATAACTTCAGAATGAGCCCTAAGTGCATGAATAATAACCTTAAGAAACGTTCCCTTCATTCGTGGGCTGTGGCTGTTGAGAATTTTACCTTACTTTATAACAAAACGTTTGTGATGTAACGCATAACTTTAGCCTGATTTTTATGAACGCGAAGTACATGAATGATACCCTTAAAAAAAAACTCTCCCTTCAAAGCTGCTTTCCCGGCACTGTCCAGTTACCAGTGCTGGTAAAGTAGATTGTTCAAACTGACATCGGAAAATTTGTTGGCTCAAATTCTAAGACAGTTTCAGCTGATCAACCCCCCCTCCCCCCTATTAGTTTTGCTGGATCGTTACGTACTATTCTGAGATACGTTGCATAACACATCCCTGGTTTCGGAACGTTGTGGAATTTTTGTACAATCCTAGGTAGCTAAGTCAGTAATCAGGAGGTAACCTTCTTTCTCTTCCTGTCCCTACGCAAAATGATCTAAATTAATATATCGAATCTAAACCTCACGCAACTTCACTAAAAAAAGCGTAACATTAGTACTGAGTAATTTTTGAAGTGCTGAAAGAGATGAACCCCACATTGGTCCCAAGGTATTCGCTCAAGTCACGCAACTTCAAGTCAAGAAGTAATGGCTAGGTGATAACATTACGATACGTGAGCAGTACTGAGCACTTAATGACCGCAGAACAAAAACCTGTTCTTAATGGTTTCCGGACCACAAACTCCACCAGGCGTGTGCAATGATGAAACACACTAGACCTACTAACAGAGTTGTTTCAACTTGCTCGACTCGTGGTTGCTTTTTTTGCGGGTCAGATTTTGTCGAGGCAAAGATCAAAAATTTTACGCAATGTTGCAGTGATTGAGAAATCGTCTCGTCATAACACACAGGTTTAAAGCAGTTTAAGGTTCTTCATGGTATCAGGAAGTAAATACTAAGGTGTTTTCAGAGCCACAGCCGGAGACATATTCCTTGCCCAGTGAAAGAATGTCTTCCTGTTTGTCGAAGCGTAACTGATAATTTTTGAGCACGTTTTGAAGTTGAAACTTTTAATTCATGATCACGCTTCTTTATCAATCACATATTCAGCTCTTTTGCTTAGAAGCTATCTTTATAGCCTCCTCCAGTTGATCAGTCAGTTGGGACGCAGCACGAAAAACTGCGAGCGACAACAGGGGTAAAGCGCTCTGCGGAAAGGTGTTCACTCCTCGCACCAAGCTCCTCTCTCCTTTTTGCGCTAGCTGTTTTTCACGCTACGCCCCAACTAACTGAACGTTTGCAAGAGGCTACTATCTTTAGAATTGAGTTCCTTCAGCAGTATTCTTTGAATTAAGGTGCAGTTCAGCGGCCCTGTCAGCTTGCCTCCTTCTAACTTTGCATGACTCAATTGCGTGACAGGTTAACCGGAAAGTTGATCACGTGACGTTTGCGTTTCCGTCGTTTTACAACACAGTTCGCTTCAATCCTGGAACTAGCTCCTGTTGCAAACGTGTTCGCATCAGAAGCTTTTGCTTTACAAAGCGTTCTTAATGGCTTCGTTTTGTTATCAAGCGAGTGATATACCAGCTCCTATTAAGAAATAAAAATATTTGAAATTCCGCCAATTTCATTCTAACGAAGGTACAATCACTTCAACTTTTTCACGCTCTTTCCAACAAACGGAGGACAACAGCGTAAGCCAAATATAAAATATCCTGATGATTAGAGCAGGTTCTAAAGTAGAATAGAAATGTAGAGATCAGGGAGACAGTGATTCCCTTCTCCTTCTGCTCGGCTATTTATACCGTGACACCTAAACTAATTTATAATCCAACCTAAGACTTGAAATTTTGCATTTGATAACGGCGACAAGGTGACGGTG